AAAACACAGTTTTACCTAATGTTGTCAAATATGAGCTTAACAAAACATACTTTTAACAAAATGCAGCAGTTGCAGCTTGTAAAAACTCCATTGTGTAACATTATATTAATGCATGTTAAATGATAATATTGCTCTACTTTTGTGCTTCGGTTGCTGCTTACACAGTCTCATTGCCCTGGAGGCTGTGGCTCAGACTTTGGTATTCACGTCATCCCAGGACTGTTTACAGTGGAATTAATGGTCTGTTGTTTGTCTCCCGTCAAACAACTGCAGCAAGTCCTTTGATGGAATGGACTGAAACTTACGCAGCATACTTACAGTGAGAAAGAAAAGCAGCAGCCAAAAATGAAGGAAAAAAATCTGCACAAGCCTGGGAGTCAGAGAACTAAACTATYCATTGTCTGGTTGCATCTTTTATAGAACAGAAAGCTGTGAAAGGACGTCTGGTTCAGACAGTRACCTGGCAAGCTCAGGAGGAAAAACGAAATGATGACTAAAAGATAAACAACGGCTGCTCGGGGAGACAACGGAAATTTTCATTGAATGATAACAAACCATCCAGAGAGGGTAACCGAATCTTCTGGCTGCTGATTTAAATTCCAACTGTATACAAACTGAACGCACCTGCTGGAAGAGAATAAAACACTAGCTTCATGGAATAAATTATGACTTTTCAAACACCGTAATCACCAGAGAACATCTGAGGGACCTTCCAAGAACAATACATAATAATCCATTGTTTTGGTTTCATGTTGGTTTAGTCAGTTTTGTGTTTTAAAAGATGGCAGCTGTCCTCGTGAACTTTTGAATTCAGGACTCTCATTTCTCATCTTGTGATGAGTGATGTCAAAATTAATACAAATCATGTTGAAGAGCTGAAAGAAACTCAATGAATCTGACAGCTTTACATAGTTTCAGACCTTTTTAGACAGAGTTTAGTGTCTTTTTTGAAGGTGGAAAACAGAGAACCAGGGCTTTCAGTGTGGAAAACAAGAGAAGAGCTGAAAGGCGACTGTCCCAGGCTCGTAACTACAGTCACACTGAATGCAACCATTGTTAGAGTTTGTAAAAAAAAAAAAAAAGAAAGCTATGGAACCAGCAGACCATGTAACACTCACTTCCCAGCCCACAGTACTGGCCTAGATTCGGGGGCCTTTACACTAGAGCAATGCTCCTCTTCATCTGCTGTTGTGAGGCTTCCAGCTCCAGGGAAAAGTTTCATGTGTCATTTGGCTTTGGCTCAAACRGGAATTAGAGCCCTTTTTTCCAGAGTTGTTGAAGGTAAATCCTTCTCCCGCTGTGTTTGAATTATCCCCTCGGGTCAGAAAAAGGCRCAATATGAAAAAGAGGCCAAACAGTTGTCCAAGCTTTTTGCCAAAGTTCAGTGAAGTGGGCCAGTTTAGGAGTTACAACACCTTAAAGCAGGACAACAAGTCACGTGTTTCATTTGTAATTAATTATCGAAAATTCATCTTTTTTTTTGCCAGAGTCTGCGTGTATACGTACGTTTGGCAGTCACGTCAGATTTCTTCATGAATGACTGAAAGGTTACTGAAAGTAATCACTGGATGCACGTCTATAAACTTAACTCTTAGAGTCGACCCAATTTAAAATGGTTACAACAGCCAACTCATGATAATAGTTATACTATTACAAAAAAATGGATTTTCACAATAAAGTTCACTCCTGAGACTTTTTTTATTGGTTGTCTATTATCCAAGGTTGTCATGCTTGTGTAGTTAGTATTTGTTTCATCATTTAGGATCTTTTTTTATTTAATATTTACCATTTTATTAGGGATGCACGATATATCGATATTGATATCGGTATCAGCCGATATTGGTCATTCTTTAGAATATCGGCATCGGTCCGATATGTAAAACTGGGCCGATATTAATGTCCAATATTGATTTACCAYCTTTTTAGCCATGCGTTTCTGTTTTGGGACGGGAGATGGTTGGTTGAGCGGCATCTGTTTGATCATAATAGTGATATTGACGCTGCGTAGCCAGGAATAACTGAAGTAGAGCCATGTCAGAGGTCTGGTTGTTTATTTACAGTATTAAAAAAAAGACCCAAGTGTGTTTGTGYGTATATGTATAATATAATTTGTGTTTATGTAATATCGATAAATAYCGGTTATCGKCCATAACAGCAATAATTATATYGGATATCGATATCGGCTAAAATTTTCACATCGGTGCATCCCTACATTTTATTACTTATGTCAAAYAATAAATCCAATATTTTAAGTGTTTCAAACATTTAATTCCACAAAGCTCCAGGCTTCCTCCTTGAAAAGCTGATCCAGATTACAGGGACCCTGCTGGACTCAGACAGRGAGACGGAGTGAGAGACAACAAAARGGAGGCAGAAATAAAATGAAAAAGAAAGTCAATCAAGGCACAATATGTTTAAAAATGAGCAAGTGTGGCTTTGTCTGCTAGAATGGAACTAGAGTTTAGGTGAAGTAAAAAAACAAGAAAAAACAGCCGATAAGAGGAACATCTGACACAAACAAGCAAAAAATGAAGTGTGAATTCATAAACGTAATAAAAAGTTTTTTTTCCTCAAAAAAGGAAAAAAAAAAACAGGTGGACAGATATAAAGTGACAAAAGCTTTTAGTTGTCAAAACGTCCATTTTCACTTGGTTGTCTCCCAGCCTTGTCGTTTGGTCCATTTTCTCATCAAGTCTCAAATTGATCGTTGGCAGCGTTCACTTTGTGCCCACTCAGTATTTATGAGTGGGCACGTATTTTCTCATCATCACATCATAACAATTCAACCAGCCAGCAGGATGAATAAAAGTATCTTCAGAGGGAGCTGCTAAAGAGAAGGATGTGTTTAAAGGTTCATAAAATCAACATTACAATTGGCAGATAATATATTTAAAAGTTTTCTATGGCAACTTTTCGAAAGTCTTAGACTAAGATACTTTTAACCCTTAATGCTATTAGTATATATGTCCCCCGCACATACGCAAAGCACCAATGCACCTGAACTCCGAACAGATTTGTTGTTTTGGGTGGGGGTCAGGAGGGGGTGGGGGGTACTCATTGTACAGCCCAATAGATAGCCCTTCCTCAGAGCTAAAAAATAAATAAATAAATAAAAATCTGAAGCTCCTATGTTGAATTGTTTTTGAGTTAGAAGCATTTTTGTATGTCCAGACACCCTCTTTTCAGATGGAGCTCCCTCCTCAAATACGGGGTCTATAATAAAACCGCTGGCTGGCGCAGTGTAGGTCGGWCATATCTATATTCCTACAAAATTTCACACTGATCAGTGCAGCCGTTTCCATGCTACGATTGATCAAAAATCTTTGCRTGTGGGGGTCATAGTAGTTAGCAATTAGCTATAGCTTAGCATGTGATTTTCTACGGAGAAGCAGCTAACAACTACGTCGCATTCAACAAAATAAAATATTAGGGCTGTGCATTGGCAAGAATTTGGTGATACGATACATATCATGACACAGGGGTGACGATACAAAATATGAAATATTACGATACTTTAAGCAAGATGATAAATTGCCATTTTTTTCCTCAACATTCTAATATTTAAAAAAAACTCAGTTTCTTTTACATGATTACTCACAATGCTAATGTTTCCGCTGGTGTTAAATTCTGGTTCTTTAGGATGGAGGAGCCAAATGGTGGGCTGACTGCTGCCAACTAGTGGTTGGAGGCTAAATTACGACACAAGAATGAACCACTGGCCTGAAAGTTTAYGTTTCAAGCCTTAATTAAAAATTGATACATTGCTTTAGAGAGTTGATATAATATTGGGAAATGAAATATTGTGATAATTCAATTTTTTTCTAATTTCTCATTAATTTACTCCATATAAGATCTACTGTGTTTTATTCTACAAGTATTGTAGAGTAATTCTGAACCACAACTGTTTGTAATCCAGCATTAAAAGTGGAAATTGTCATTTTAATGTTAGAATAAATCCCATTCTGACAGAACAAGACTAAATATGACACCATTTTCCTCACATTCAGTTTATGCTGCTCTTTATTCTTAACAAAACACACACACAGCACTGCCTCTTTATTGAATGAGTCACAACACCTCAATTCATCTGGATTGAGCTGAAGCATCCCAGTGGCATCTGACTCAGTCCTTTTTGTTATTCCTCTCTGCAAGTCATCTCATCATTCATAAAGCTGCTCACCCTACAGAGGCACGGCTCTGAACGAGGGATAATTGCAACGTAAAACATCTGCGCCAGGGGTTCMGACTTCTTCAKAATCCATCATCTCAAAGTTTTCTGGCCATTTTTTCTGCAGTGAAATACCCCCCAAACCATAACCGTTCTCATAGGAGCATGGAAACGGACGTAGAGTGCCCGCAGTAGCTGCGAGGTACTGAGCAGGAAACTCAGCTGGGATCAGAACGAGTCATGGAAACGGCCTATTATGATTATTATGGGCTGTCTTTCCCTTGATGTTGTTGAAGCTAATTAAGCCTCGTACTGAGCTGCTCAGGTTTGTTTGAAGTATTCAACACTTTAATGTTCAGCTTTATGCAATCCTGGGTTTTAATGTTTGATTTGAGAATATAATCACTATCCTAAATCTTACTTTTGAGAGCTGAACATGGATGCAAAATGAGACGACAAATTCAAATCTCTTGAATGAAAGTGTGACTCGTCTACAACCAGCAACTTGCTGCGGATAAAAATGGATTTAATTCAATTAAGGTGTGGTTTTGTTTTGYMTTTTAGCTGACAGCACACTTCATGGCAGACACAGGCACAYGATAATTTATATCCTGACAGATGAGCTTATTCAGTATTCAGTGTGGCTTTCAAGGAAATAAGACTCTACAGGTGCTTTCATTCTATAAGTAAATATGGTGGTGAAGACTGACCCCTACTGTTTATGAGCTGCCATCACTGTTCTTTATAAAACCTGGTGTTTTCAAAGCAGCAGGGTCCACCTGGGACACAGGTAGAGCTACAGTGAAATCTTTATATTTGTGTTTGTTCACAGGATCGGAGTCCTGTGTGCTTACGCTGCCAATCAGAACCTCAGCTCTCAGGTGAAGAACATCCGACGGCTGGTCAACAGCAACATGAGGGACCTGCACACCTTCGCTAACGACACATCGATGGTGAGGCACACAGATCCTGCTGAAGCTTTCYGTTTGTTTCAAATGAATAGCCAATWATTCAATGTGTGGGTTCTCATTAAATATAGATTATCTGCAGAGAGCAACAAACTAATAATTGCATTTTTAACAGGTGCATAATTTTGTTTTCAATTTTTGTTTTCATTGCTCGTGCGCCATGATGCAGTTTACTTGGCATCTGAAAATACTTTTCCTCAAAGGTATTTTTAATCTGAAAAGAGCTTCACTGAGTGAGAACTAATGTTGAGAGCTCAGCAGACAGTTTCAGTTTCACTTTCAGTTTCAACCAAGAGCCTGCAGGAGTCATGGGCAGGGTTTGTGGTGAGTGGGGGACGAGGTGCGCTCTGCCATGAGGAAGTTCTGCTTAAAGACACGTCCCAGAGGCATTTCTGGTCCCAAAAGGCGTTTCTGGTCCCCAC